GGGTTGAATCACAGAGGCGGCCCATTTTAAGCTTTAGGTTTTTCGACCTCAAGGATCCCGCTTGAAAGGTTGAGGACTGGAGGGCTCGGGGTTTCGTTCCGATTCAGGGAGGTCTTAAGCCCAGGGATTAGGGCCGTTGATGCTTAGACTTTACAGCTTTAGGGCTTAGGGCTCTAAGGTTTCGGGATCGGGGGTTTGAACGTCAACACTTGATGTTTGCTTGAGAACGGTCTTTTAAATGGGTTCTTGCTAGCGTTTTCACAAACTGCATACTGCTTTGCAAGGTTACTTTATGCATCATCAGGTTATGAGGTCTCTTCTATCTGCTACTGTTATGGGGCTTAAAACAGCTTCGAAGTTCATGGGAGTATGCAGTTTACAAGTTTTGACAAGGGCGTTAGAAGGCTTTTAGGGTTGGGCGTTCTTTTGGCAGTAATCCTTGGTGTTGGGTTTTTTGTGGTTCTGGTGTTCGGATGTAGGGGGCTGTTGGGAATTCTAGGGGATTGAAGTTTTGGGGAGTCGAGACTTTGGGATTTGGTGTGATCCTCATTTCGTCGCCCACCGCCATAGCAACAGTACCGAGTGAAGCTCACAAACAGACAACAAACAGAAGATGCCCAAGCCGGTACCAACAATCATGTTGATGGTTCACGACGATGCAATCCATGTCGATACGGCGGGAATGCCTTGGCCCGGATTCTCTGGGCCTCTAGGCGCTCCTGCAAGCAAAAGTCGAGCTTGATCAGTGTCGTGACGCTGTCTCGGAAACGATTTAGGATTCCGGGCTTTGGGTCCGTGGGTTTCGTCGTGGTGGCATCGGGGTTTCCGCAAGGTCCGCTGGGGTTTCAAAGCTATGCTGAGCTAGCGGCAAGGAATGTGCCACTCATGATGTCATGCTTCTGGTCTTTGCCATCCGAACCGACATTGCTGCTACTGAAAGCTGTATGTGAGCTAACGTAACCATAGAACCAGTAGGCGAATGTTGCAATCACAGTGACTCAGCTGAGTGAAGCCGATTTCCCACGAGACCGCTTGAAACGCCCTACTCGGAGAGGGGGAGTTCAGGGTTCAGAGGTTGAGGATTTCAGGGCAGATTAGGAGTTCGGAAGCTTGGGGGTTTGGGGATTTGTGGGGTTTGAGGGTCTTGACGGTTTAAAGACTGGGCTTCGGGGTTGTGGGGTTTGGGGGTAGAGGATCCAGCGAGTTTATGGTTCAGGTTTTAGGGTTCACGGAGCCTGGTGCGTAACACATGACAGCTGTCAACTCTCAAACTTCCCTAAACCCCTAAACCCCTAAACCCCTAAACCCCTAAACCCCCAGACCCCTAGACCCCTAAACCCTAAACCCCTAAACCCTAAACCCTAATTAGTTCTTCCGAACGTCGTCATGGGTGGGTCCATGGGTCGTCCTGCTCCGCCTTGTCTGCGGCCAGGGCCTCGAGGCGCCGAAGCTCCGCCTCGAGCTCGCGTCGGAGCTCCTTGCGTTAGGGGTTTAGGGGTTTAGGGTTTTGGGGGTTTAGGGGTTTAGGGGTTTAGGGGTTTAGGGGTTTAGGGGTTTAGGGGCATCGGCAGTAGGGTTTTTAGGGTTTAGAGTTTTGGTGTTTAGGGGTTCAGGGTTTAGGGGTTTAGGGTTTAGGGTTTTGGGGTTTGGGGTATCGGGTTGAGGGTTTAGGGCATAAGGAGACCTTTGAAGACTCTCTTGGATCCGGATCAGTGGTATAGAATACGCTCTATCTATCTGTCTATCTATCTGTCCGTCTATCTGTCTATGTTTATCTATCTACGTCTATCTACCTAGGTCTATCTATCGATCTATCTATCTATCGATCTGTCTATCCATCCATCTATCTATCTATCTATCGATCTCTATCTACTACCTATTATGTATTTACTTATTTGCTCATGTCTTGATCTATTTAACTATTCATGTATTCATTTGTTTCTCTATTTGTTCACGTAATTCATTTAGTAATCTATTCGTTTTGTTTGTTATGTATTTCTCTATCTCACAACATGCATCTTAGGGTTTGGAGTAACAGGAGGTTTTTTGGGGAGTAGTGTACGGCTGGCCGTAAGTTAGAGTGTTAGAGTTTCGCGATGGAGGGGCTTTCCTGTAGAGTGCAGGGTACGCGCTGAGAAAGGAGATATCGTTCATGCTAGAGCCCCGTAAACATAAACCTGCTGCCACGCATGATTTAGGGTTCTTAGGCTTGCGAACTCAGACTTCAGCAGGCTTCACGCCTCACTTGGGGCTCCAGCTTTTCTTGCCCTAAAAGCCCTCCCTAAACCCTCCCCACAACCGGCAAAAGTGAGTGTCTCGGGTGCTCCTCCTCACGCTGGGCGGCTTCGGCTCTCAGGCGCTCCTCTCACGGAGTTTTGAAGGATCCAGGATTCCGGCTCTTGGGCTACAGGATTTAAGACGAGGCTTTCGGGCTGAGGGAGTCTTCGGACTTCCTTCATGGGAGGAGCTGAGATCGCAAGCCCACCATGGGTTCATCTCTAGATCCTCAAGGGCTTCACCAAGGGCTTACGGCTTGGGGTTTAGGGCTTCACAGGTGTATCACAGGATTTGTCCATCAGAACCACCTAAACTCCAGCTCCGGCACGCAAACGACACAATGGTCGCCTCGTCATCCTACTTGAGAAAACTTGGTCAGGTTGTCTGCTGGTCAGATATCAAGCACATTCTCGTCGTAGTGCTAATTATGAGCCTCATGTTAATCAACATCTCCATCATCATCATCATCATCAGCAGCATCATCATCATCATCATGGATCATCATGATGATCATCAGCATCATAAACATCATATCAATTTTCTTCATCATCACCATCATCATCGAAAAAACATCATCGACATGATCATGATGATCATCATCCATCATCGCACCTGCCGCCAGAGTTCCTGCCTCGAGCTCGTGCAGCTCCCGGGCCACACGCTCTTCCTCCTGTGCATAAGCCTCCTTGGCCCTCTGCAGTTCCTGCAAGCAGTAGATCGCAACTGGGGGAAGGCGACACACAAAAACCACGACATGGGCGAAGATGAAGAAAAAATATGATGAGGATGAGGACGAGGACGACGCCGACGACCACGACGACAAACGACAACAACCGACGACGATGACGATGTCAACAAATCTTCATCATCTTTCTTTATGCTGTTGTCAGTGGCGGCGGGAGGCCATGATCGTGATGTGTTCGTGGCTACACGTATGTATCTCGGAGGTAGCATTGCGCATTCGCCTGTAGACTCAGAGATCCGCGGAGTCCTGCCAATCTTCGTCACTGACTCCTGGATCCCTCTCGTCGACGTCAGCTGGGCCGGGTGCTTCGGCAGGAGCTTCCTCTTCGCGCTGGGCCTGCTTCTGGCTCTGCACCGGTTTCCTGAGACGCACTGGGCTCCGGAGAGATGCGACGGTTTCTGCATCTTTTCAAAACCCTCAAAGGGCCGTCCGAGGGGCTCCTGGGCTTGAGATGGCATCTCGCAACGGGCATCCCCTGGGAAGCTGGGGACTGTGGGAGCTGCCTTGGGGCCGCGAGCTGCCAAGAGCTTTTGGATTGCCGGCCGAACGTACTCGGCACCTTGCAAGTGAGAGGCTCGACGGCTTGACGGTTATACTTTGAGTCGTGTTTTTACCCGAGATGCCGTGCCCTTCCCCCCGGACACCTTCGGGCTTTTTCACCACCCGGTCGGCCCGCTGCTGGAGACACTCCTTCCAGACCTTGTCCACGTCGCGCGCGTTGCCCCATCCGTCCAAGCCACGAAGCGCTTCGAAGCCTTCCTGCAGGGCCCCGGCCCCATCAAACCAGCGCTACTACCCTGCTGCGCAGCTGCTCCAGCCAGTCAGCTGGACGTCCATCGCAATAACCGTACATCTAAAACCCAGTCCTGAAGCACTGTGACTGCCTCCGGGGCCAAGCCAAAGCTGCCGCTCGCTGCCTCTGCTAAGATTTGTAAATAGATGGCTGCTGCAGGTTCACGCAGCCCATTCACCAGCCTTAACTACGATTCCTTCCGAACTGAATACCAGGAGACGCGCTTTTGGATCAGATCGAGGCAGTCGCCGGCCGTCCAGTCGGGGAACTCGAAGAAATGTGTGAATCGACTCTTGAGGCCCGGGTTGGTGTCCAGCATGGCGTTGATGTCACCCGGGTAGCCGGCAATGATAATCACCACACCTCCAAGAAGAGGGCTTTAGGGTTTAGGGTTTAGGGCCCGGGATTAGGACTTTAGGGTCCGACAGAGTCCTCAAAAAGACTTCGACAGCTGCCCTCCGGCCGAGCAGGTCCTGCCAACAAGGGACCCCCTCTGCTCTTCCAGGAGCCTGCCTGCATACTTTGGGTCCGTCATCGCCGCAACGATGGCGGTGCATGCTTCCTGACCGTAAAGGCCCTTGCCGAGTTCGTAAGCCTCATCGATGAAGAGAACTCCTCCCTTTGCAGCCTGAAGCAAGGCCGGCTTCCAATCCATCAACCGTCGTGCCTTTTTGGACTTGAGGGTTTGTCGCTCAAGATGACAAAGATGGATCATGACTTACGACCAGGGTCGAATGTCTGAATGAAGTCAACCAGGAAATACTGGTATGTTTCGGAGCCAACTTCAACGCGCACACTGCACATAATGCCAATACAACAAACAACCAGAAAACACGCGTAACAAGGGTAAGAAGGGCAAGGCTAAAAGAAAACATCATCTTGACGGCATGAGCAAGTGTGCTGCAGGAGCCATGCACAACAAATTATCAGCACACCAAGGGCATATTATATATATAATATATATATATATGTACAACCCATACATTTGGATCATTGAGGAATATTGGCTCTTGGATCCGGGGTCGGATCAAGAGTGACTCGGATAGCTTTGGAGCAGATCCTCTCCCACGGCAGTTTTTTGGGGGGCCGGGGGGGAGGGGGTGGCGAGTGCTACATCTATACATCTATACAGACGTACATACATACATACATACATACATACATACATTCAGTCACTCACTCGCTCACGCACTGATTCATTCATTTCATTCCTTCGTACAGACACGATGTGTTGCAGGTCCGGCGCGAGTAACAACAAGAGTAGGACTTAGGAGCAGCGACCAACAAAATGGCAAACACCCGCAACGCGATGGTCCCGTGGCTTCGTTGTTGTGATGTCGTCGTCGTAGCATTAGTGGCACTAGGAGTCGTGGCTGCTGTAGCGGCAGTAGGAGGAATCTCATACCGATAATATAGATCTTGTAATGGTACTGAGGTGATAATACCCAACCATGAATACTGACAAACACTGGCTAAGACAGCGGTTCTGTGACATCAACACGATGGAACATGTTGCAAGCCAACACCAGTCATGCGCTGCCGATAGGCGGAGTCAAGCGAACACAACACAGTCATGCTAGTGACGACAGCACTTGCTGGTAACACTTGGAAATGACGAAGATGATGACACGCGATGATGATGATGATGATGATGATGCGTGCTGCAGCAGAGGAGGAGCAGGAGGAGGAGGAGGATGAGGACGAGGATAGGGAGGGGGAAGAGGATGAAGAGGAGGAGGACACGATTTTGATTGTGATGACGACGGTGAGGATGAAGATGATGATGATGATGATGATGCTGCTGCTGATGGTCATAACGACAAGATAATGATGACAGTAATGACAACACTGACGATGATGATGCTCACGCTTGTTTTGAGTTTTGAGCAGAGCCAGTACTCAAAAGCGTCGCACCAGTGCTCAAGCACTCCGACAGCGGTTTACAACAGGAAGAGCCTCGAGCTGCTCCTCCACTTTCTTCTTGGTCTGGCCAAGGTACTCTCCCGTCAGGTTCAGGCCCGATGTTTCTGCCGGGTGCAGCTGTGAGACGGATAGCTGCACAGAAACGGCAATAGCGATGGTGGGCGTTTTGGTAGTAGTTAGGTGTAGCGGCAGCGGTAGCAGTAGCAGCAACAGCTAGCAATAGTCGTAGCAACTATGACTGCTCTAGCAGCAAAAAAAAAACCGCAGCAACGCCACGGAAGAGCAGGAGCAGTCGGAGCTCTTTGGGCAGCAGCTATCACTTGCTGCACCACCCGCGCCTTGCACACGATCCTTCGCTAGGAGTCGGAGCTGGAAGAGAATCTGCGCCATCACCCGAGCCACCGTCGTTTTGCCGGTGCCAGGCGCACCGGTAAACACGAAGTGGCCGAGTTCAGGAGCTTCATCCCCCTCCTGCAGAGGATACGGTTCAGGAGTTTAGGATTCAGGGAGCAGGGTTTCGGGCTTGGGTTTACAGAACTGCATCGAAATCGTCGGCCAAACAATACTTTCAGCAGAGCTGACGCAACACAATTTGCTCTGAGCCATTCAAGGATCCCGCTGCGAGGGTTGTTCAGTGACTTTGGCGTGGTTCGCGTGCGCGGCTGTCAGTAAGCCCAAATAGCCAAATCAACGCCACAAACAACCCCACAAACCCTGCTGCATGCACAAAGCTGCGAAGTTGCGAACTAGCTGCAGGGAGTGGGAGTGTAAGCTATGCCTCTCGCAAAAGTCTCTCCTCCGATGCCACAGAGAAGGCATTGCTGAGCTGCTGTAGCTTTTGCCTTTCAGTCGTATCAACACGTCACTGCATCCGCACTCTGTGTATGCGAAGGAACGCAGCGAATGACACCACGCGGTGATGCGATCCGCCTGATTCCTTCCATCCGATAGAGCTTCTCAAGAGGGGCGAAAGGGTCCTCTCCACACGCTGTCTACGTCCTCACTACGTCCTCTATCACATGCTAGCGACAGACGGAAGCTCTGGTCGGCCTTTTGGTTTTCAGCTTCGGGTCCGATGTCGATGTCCGATGCCTCCAAGCATAAGGGGCCCTCTCCTGCAGACGGCAAAAAGGAGGGTGCCCGGAACTGCAACGAACGGGCATGTTTTGGGCCTTGGATGCCTTGGCCACGAGAGGAAGCCTTCAGCATGGCTGCCTTCACGAGGTTCATCACAGCACCAGCATTGCCAAAGTGGGACTCGCTTCGGCGAAGCATATCAAGCTTCCTCTTCGCCTAGCAGGTCACATCCGCTGACGGAGAGAAGGCGACGGCAGGCTGGCCTTCTCTTGGAAATCCAGGGAGGGCTTCACACCCTCGCTGCGGCAATGGTTGCGCAGAATGTCCATGAGCTCCTGTACGGACGCCCCAACCACAGCAACAGCCACCGAAGAGACACCCATTCACTGCCGTCGCGATCCATGCATCCCTCCCTTGCAAGAACCAGCAACAGTAGCAAAAGCACAAGCAGCACAAGGGCGGCAGTTTGGTGCATACAGAATGCAGGCGTCGTCAGCATCATCGTCAGCGGCATAAACAACAGCACTGGGACGCACTCCTGATCTGTGTAGTCCTCGAAATAGAACGCTTGTTCCGGAGGGAAGCGGCGTGCAAGCCCTGGATTTTGCTCCCGTTGCATGGATAGCATCTGGTCCTGGAGCTCGTGATTTAGGGCTTGGGGTCTGCGAGTTGGGGTTGATGTTTAGGGTTACGCATCTCTAAGCTGCTTCATCATGAGATTGAAGCAGTATGACAGTTGTCCTCGTATCCAAGGAGTAACACCGCGATGTCGTCGTTGTCACCACCCTGGATCTTCTCTACAAGGACATCCAGCACCTGCATCGCGAAGGCTGCGACAGGACGGTAGGGTCACATTATCACATCGTCTGCGCTGCCCGCCTGCTTTCCATACAAGCCGTCATTGAGGTTGTACGCCTCGTCGATTACTAGAACCTTCCCGGCAGCAGATTGTAGCACACTGAGGACCTTCTGCTGGGCTTCACCGACCACCGAGCCCCCGAGATCGCCAGCTGTCTTGAAGACCACATCTCCGGAGCTAAGAAAGCCCAAGTTCTTCAGCAGCTCTCCATAGAGCTTTGCACACGTCGTCTTGCCCGTGCCGGGATTCCCAAGGAACATGCGGTTCAAGAACACGGGAAGTGGCTTCTCGCCGTTCAGCTCCTTGTGATAGTTGGTCCCACATATGGTGATCAACTCGTCAATGGTTTTCTTGATCTTTCTCCAACCGGTCTTCCGTTCGATTTCTTCGCGGACACGCTGTAGCTTGGGATTCGATCTGGGATCCTCTTCATGAGGGTTTGGCGGGGGTTTCTCCGAATCTGGTCTTGTTTTTGCGGGGGCATGACCAGTCACTCCATGTGTCAGTCCTCACCCACAACATCCACAAAGCGCAGTGACCTGAGCAACAAGATTGCACGGCAGTTCCAGAAAGCACATGACATAATCCTCAACAAGGAACCAAACAAAAAACAGCAAGATGTGGTATCCCCAACATGAAGCCAAAAGCGCCATCCTTCTGATCAAAACCAAAACGGATGCCTCAAGCAACCTTCAAGCCAGGATAACGTAAGATCGGACAAGAGCACGCGTACGCGAACGAGACTGTAAACACGGTCCAAGCCGCATGGCTTGAGGATCGAAATCTGAATGGCTCATCGCGCTTTCTGCCGCCGCTTCCAAGCACTTTCTCACCTCAGCCGTCCAAGGAGTCAAGCCTTCTTTGGCTTCAAGTGCTGAAGAGTGTGATTAGGGGTTCAGAGGTTCACGGGCTTAGAGTCTATTCATCTATTCCCAAGCCCCAAAGCAAACTACGTCAGCTACAATGCTACAACCTGGCCGACGCCTAACTCCTACACTTTCCTTTCTTGTGTGGCTGCGCTACATCTGCCCTTGGTGTAACTGAGATGCTTAGGGAACCCGGCGGAGCTTGGCTCACCGCATCCTAGTGCGGAGTCAATTCTGTTCCAGTCTTCGAAGTTCTACGGCCATCTGGACACGTCTGGACTCACCCGTTCGACGCTCATCGGTGTGTTGTTGATGTGGTTTACACGGTGGAGGCAGTGTCGTTCTGAATGCAGTGTCCAAAGTCCGCGTCGGATGCAACAGGAATCTGAACTCCAGGGATCTCCAGGGCGGATTGGTTTTCGGGCAGTGCACATCTGTCTGGTGCAGACGAAGTTCAGTCGGATTGTCTTTTGGTGGGACGTTGTGAGGGAGTATACAACTGATAGATTGTGTCGCCGGCGCTGGGCAACCACTGGTCCGTGTGCACGTTGACAGTTGTTTTGGTGATAAAACTGGATGATAGTGGGGCAATCCATTACTCTTGGGATAGTGATGCGAAGACGGCGGCAAGTTAGCAATCCGTGCGGTGTAAATAGTGATCGGGTGTCTCGGAAATAATGCTCGGATGTACATAGGAGACTGCGCGAAGTAGCACTGGCAACCACACTTGTCGCACCAAGTGGGCATGATGGTTGACAGCAAGAGTAGCCGAAGCAGCATGCACCATCATCGATATTAGCGTCATCGTCATTGACAACGCTAATCACCCTGCTGCAATGTCACAGAAACGGAAGCAACACCGAGGATGGAACAATACCTATCATGTGGCAGCAGTGACAATACTCGCAACTACCACTGCCACGACAACGACCACTACCACAACTCCACGACCACGACCACGACCACCACCACGACCACTACCACCACTACCAATACCACTAACACTACGACTATGCTTACGACTACGCCTACGACTACGACTACGTCTACGACGGCGACTACTACTACTGCTGCTGCTGCTGCTGCTGCTACGACTACTACTAGAATTGCTGCTGCTACTGTTACTACTGCTACTACTACGACGCCGCCGGCCGGCTTCACAATTCAATGGTTGCATGGGTACGCTGCAGGCTTTGGCAGGCTTTGGCTGCGGCTTCGGGCTCTAATCTTGAAGAGCCCAAGTGGCCTCTCTGGCATTGCCGAAGCCTTTCTTTCCACGACTCTTCGCCATTCTGCAGACACTCGCTCAACCACCAGAGGTGTCAGTGTACGAATCATGCTTATGCAGCTACCGGCCCTGTCCTTCGCACGACAACATCAGTAAGGCGCGAATCCTCTTCGCTCCATCCACGTTGGGACCGCATGTGAGTCCAAATCCTCACGGCAACGGACCCTCCACCCGCGATTGAGGGCTTAGCATGCAGAGCTTCCTTTCTTGCAGCAGAGATGAGACACATTGAGTTGCTGCCAAGGAGTCTGGGCGAGCTCCTTTTCGTCAAAGTCTTCGAAGTGGACTTCGGTGAAGCGGCTTTTCAGGCCGGTGTTGTAGGCAAAGATCTTGGAGTTCATGTCATCCTAGAGCTTTCAAGGCAATCACAGCCACAGCAACCCGAGAAGACATACGGTACAGGGTTTAGGGCTTCCCCCTCCCAACCCCGGGTCCTCGTATCCGGCAAGAATGCAGGTGAGTCGTGCACGCTCGTTCTCGGTGAGGGTGACGAGCTCATTCACGATGGGTGCGCCCTTGAACTTGTCTCCTGCTGGATCCAGGTCATAAGCCTCATCAATGAAGATCACGCCGTCCAATGCTTCTTGAGCCAGCTTCCGAAACTCATCCACGCCACCATCCTTGAGCTTTTGGGCGGTGCACTCCTGGAAAACGTTCTTGCTCCGCAAGCCCGAGTCGTGCAGCACGGCGGCGAACAGGCGCGCCACGGTTGTCTTCCCGGTACCGGGGTTTCCCATGAAACAGTAGTTCCTTGCATCCAGCAGGGGAGATGAGAAAAGCTGATGGCTGATGGCCCAAGTGCTGCAGAGCTACAGGTTGGGCGCGTTCTTCTTCCTCTTCTCCGGATCCATGCGCTGGAATTGAAGAGCCGACTTGTAGAGGTCCATGGCCTTCGTCTTCACCTTCCACCAGGCGGAACCCCCAGGCCCGGCTCAAACATGGAGGAAAGGCCCGGCTCAGGCCTTGCCTGCCTTGAACTTCTCGAAACCTCGAAATAGCCACAAAAAAAAACCCTTAAAGTAGAGGGACCGTGCGGGCCTTCTTCAAGCCGGTGAGCGCGAGAAGTTGATCCATGGCTTCCGAAGCACAGCCTTTTGCATTTGCTGCAGTGGTTGTTGGTTGAGGTCTTGGTCTTGGTGACAGATGATGGGTGCATTCATTCTCGAGAGCTTTGAACTTCTGAACGGTCGTTTCGCAGAGCTTTCCGGTTATGTTGGAGTTGTCCAGTGCTTTCTCACTTCAGGGCGCACGCCCGCATCCTTGAAATCCTGAAAGCTCAAGCCCGGCACCCAAATAAACACACTATAAACACCGAGCCTTTCGTTTCCTTCATCTCCTCCCACGTGGCCAGCAGATCGGTGGGAGCCGCAGGATCCTTTTGAGAATCCCAGGATCCACTCACAGCAGGTAGTATATCACACATTATTCTCGAAAAGGATATAGTCTAGTATAGTAATTGTGGAAACATACTATGGTGTTTTGGTGTATTGTATTGTAGCACACTACAGTATGTCATAGCATACTGCAGTATGTTAAAGCATACTGCAGTATATTATCCGCCGACCCCTGCTGGGGCGGCGCCAGTGAAATCCCGAAGGGTTGTTTGTTTGTTTGTTTGTTTGTCTGAGGCATTGCTCTTGCCCTTTTCCCGTGAAGAAGCATTAACAGGCTTCAAAGTT